TGACATTTTACAGCCAGAGTTTGAGCTATAAGTCAATAAAAATCCATGCTTTACTCACTAAATTACTAAGATAAAATTTTAAATTTGCGAAAATTGAGCTGCAGAAAGTTTTTGTTTACATTTCCACTTGAATACTTTGTTCAACAAATTTGTGTTTGATGCTTGTTTTTCAGTCAATTAAATGATTTTAAATGTTTTATAAAGTCGGAGCAAAGCAACTGAATGTAAATTTTTCCATCAAATCAGTCTGAATAGATTGAAAACTGATAATTTCAATATCTTCTGATATCGAATTTTTTTCGTAAACAAACTGTCTTATTTTGATGAAAAAAGGCATCAAATACCTTGTTGCTTGAAATAATGGGTTGAATCTTCAATAATTTCATCCTAAATATCAGTTTCAAAGACATTTTATCTCGTAGTTTAAAAAAAAAATCATTAGAAAACCCAGCCAACCTCTGTACGTTTCCAGTTAAAGAATGTATTTTTGCAAATTTGAAAGGAATGCAAATATACTGAGAATTTAAGTACATGTAATGGAAAATATTTCAAGCTATTGCAGTAAAATACCCTTTTGAAATTTTATTCATCTAATATCTGCTTCCTAACCCACTCAAATACCTTAATAGCATCAGAAATGTGTGAGATTCATTTTACTGAACCGAGCATCATGCAACCTTGAATAATTCAAAATGTAATATCTAGGTCAATTTTATATAAATTTTGCATGAATGATTTTGCAAGAATTCTCGTTTAAATGTTCATTCCAACGCCCCCAGATTATCCTTAATTAAATAATCCTTTCTAGAGAAAATTGACCTTAAATTCCATAACATTCTAAAGATGTATATATCCAAGATTTTCTACCATGATGTTTTATAATCATTAATAATGTAAAGCTTGAACGGTTCGGGTCACTTACTGTTCAGATTTGGTTTCCAAAATTAGAAACTTGAAATTTTATCGACTTGACGTAAAAAAATTTGTTTTTACGGCACACGACAAGTAAAGTTAAGGAAGACAGGGATTTCTAAAACCTAAAGGTTTCCAGTAACTTCATTTCAAGTACTTTTAGTATGACTTAATAGCTTATTTATATGAGCTTTTCAAATGTAATTTGTTATACGAAAAAGAGGGAGATTTGCATGCATTTCCCCCGGAGCTTAAGTTCAACAATTTTTATTTTCTTTGAGAAATTGCTCTGAAATTTGATTTTTAATGTTTTAAAAATATTCAAATTGCTTTGTTTTTGATTCAATGTTGGAATTTAATGGGGTAGATTATGCTCAATCATGCTAATTTTTGAATTATTGAAAAATTTTGTTTAAGTTGAAAATTATTGATGAATCATTAGACTGCTAAGCAGTGCCTAATCTATCAAAGAAAAGTGCTTACAATTTATATTCAAATTAGTAACCATCGATATTCCATTAGTGTATAGATTTAAGGACATTTGAAAGTTTAATTACTATTTAATAATTAATTCAAGTGTTCAGTTTCTGACAAAATTCTGAGTAAAAGTAAATGAGCTCTTTGAATTAAATATTAGTTGTGTGGGTAATTAATGATTTCATCAAGATACAAAGAAATTGGCAACATAATTGTCTCTGAATTCAGTTAAAATTTGCTGAATTAAGCAAAACTGAGTGTGTTGAATTGAGCTGAATTTACATGAATAGTTTTTGAATTGAGCTGAAAAGTTTCTGAATTGAGATGAAAATTTTCAGAGTTTAGCTGAATTGTGCTGAAATGAGATGATAGAAATTTAGATGTAGGGTTCGTTATACACGAAAAGGCACTGCGATCATAGATCTGTTGTACCATTGAAATGAGATGAATCCAGTTAATTGATTATCAAATAAAACATTTAAACACTCTGTACAATAACTGCTTAATATTAGACCAACCTTCTTAAAAGTCCTCAAAATCACATCTTCAATTTTCTCTAAAATAAATTAAATTACAAATTTCTTAAACCTAAAAGCAAAGTTTACTTTGATTTCCCATTTTTTAAAATTATATCAGCCCAAATTTTACCTGACCCATGAAATTATTCCGAAAGCATCCCCATCCTAGAACTTTATACTAATGGCAATAAGCATAATCGACCTTTACGTTTTACAGAAAATCCAATTTTTCACCACAACTCAGCCACACGTTGGCCTCTTATTCAATTATTCATAAATCGACAAACCACCGAATTTTTCTCTCAATTCCTCACTTGCTCATGTTTCATGCCATAAGAGAATTATCCGTTTTTTAATTCATTTTTTTTCTCTCTCAAAAGTCACAGATTACCGAACAGGAAATTTAAAATTCTAATATCAATTTTCCCATGACAAGCAATTCGAAGATTCTCAAATATTCAATTAAAAATTGACGGCAATAAAAAATTCAGGATGAAATCTGAAAAAAGAAAAAAAAATTTCTACGAAAGAAGCAAAAGCTCATCAACTGTCGCTATCATATACAGCATTAATTTTCATTGTCTATTATATACACATGAAAAAGAAATGAAGAAAGACAGATATGGTGAGTATAATACAGTAGTTGTTGACTACTATTCATCCATGTAAGCAAGTCAACAACAAAGTGAGAGAAAATTTGTTTTTCTTTCTTATTAGTTCGCTGGTTAAAAGAAGGCATAGAATAAGAAAGAAAAAAATCTTTTCTTGGTTGTAATCATCATCTATACAGACAGATAAGACTTAAGTGAATAAAGGAGACGAGTAAGAAGAGTGGAAAAGTGACGGGAGCCTCTTAAAGGGCGCTGCAAATTTGCTTCTCTTGTGTATTTAAGAAAAATAAGTAAGTAGTCTATCTATGTTTGAGATTTTGTGTCTATTGACAGGGGTGGGGCTGTGGTTGTTTTTTTCTCCTGCCAAATTTATTACTTTCGAAGTTAAATTTAAATGTTTCGAACTTAATATCGAAAAATTCGAAATTCTATCAATTTGAGACGCAAATTTTAAAATTACAAAATTTGGACTTAATAATGCACTGATCTTTATAAGATCAGCTTGTATGTCCAGCTCAGAGCTGCTTTTTTAACTGATCAAGCCATAAACAAAAAGTTCTCTGTAATTTCGTGAGAATCTTCAAAATTTTTGAATTGAATTCTGAAAGAAAATATGAAATCAAACATTCAAAGCTAGCAGAAGCCACCCCTGGATCTTCACATAAATATATGTTTAATACGTATAATAAAAAAATATATTGAAGCTAGCTTTTTTGGATAAGAAAGCTGACAAGGAGAAGATTAAATATTTATGGCTTTCTTTCATGCTTTTTCACTCTCTCTTTTACTTCATTTTCTTTTTATTTTTCGTTCCTTCTTCTTCTTAAGGATTTAAGCATCTTCATTATGTCTTCGCAATCTATCAAAGCCAAAAAATTTCCTTTCATTCTCTCTTTTTTTGATTTTTTTGTTTCTTTGCAATTCCGATGAATAAATGTATGAGGATATAAAAGCGACAAGTCAACGAATCCATAAAAAGTTTAAAAAATTTTCTTGCTTTTGTTTTTCATTTGAATTTAAGCAAAAGTTTGGAAACTTTTGTTGTTGTAAATGCGTGACGAAATAATTTGTTAATTAAAGAAGTTTTAAGGTTTTTCGATGGAATTTCCATCATTTTTAATTACATCGCAACAATTTTGAAGCTTGCCTTTTGATTCTTTTTGGACATTTTTTTATGAAAATTGGGTTGCTTAATGCTTTTTCGATTGGAAATGGCATGAACATTTTATTGTGATGTTTTCAGTTGAACAAGTTGTTAAAATGTCTTACAAAAGTATTTATTGAATATTGTCAGTTTGAAAGAATAAAATTTTAAATTTTACCAATTCAGCAAAATTCAGCAAGTTCAGCGTTTAAATGTTTGAAAAAAGTTATTTCATTATTCAGTTTTAATTGATTTTCATCATTTTAAAGTGATTTGAGCAGCATAACTGTTAAAGCATGTTAAAGTAACATTCAACCATCTGTACCTTATACAATTCAACATTATAAATCGTATATTTAAACACTAAAATTAAATATCAATTTGTAAAACACAATATTTGTCAATTATCGTGTGATTTGCAGTTCTCGTGACGGCATATTGATTTCTAAAGCTAAAGATTGTTCCTGTTCCATGAATATTCCACAAATTAATACACAAAACTAAGAAATTCATAGTTTACGTTACATCAAGCTTTAATTTACAGAATCCAGGTCAAAAGCTCTTGCTTAAATTTTCAATTTCGTCTCCAATTCGCAAATTTTTCCTCAAATTCAGCATGCAGCATCATACAAAGATATTCAATTGAAGAACTTTTTCTCGTATATGACTTTGACTTTTTTCCGAATCAGCGTAATGAGCATAATGAGGGCAAAAAAGAGGAAGCAACGACGGAGATGGAGGTGGGGAACAAAGTTAGAAAGAGAGCAGCGCGCAAAAGAAAGAAGAAAAATTACGGGACCACTAATTCATGTTTCCCCATAAAAAATCTCTTATTGCCTTTGCTGAAGAAAAACGTTTAGCTTTTTTCCATTCCTAATGCTTTTCTTCTTTATGGATGGCAAGAATGTGTAAGGGGAGATAACTTTACCTACACGTATATTAGGTCTAATGTGTACGGCAACAAAGAAGAAGTGAAATATTGGCGAAATGAGGCTAAATTAAATTTTCAAGGGGAATTATGTTATGTGAGTGTTGTTTGTTCTTGAGAATATTGTTGTGCTGAAACTTTGATGAGAATTACACATCTTTATGGCCCTTGTAGACCCAATGAAGTGCGAATTTCATCAAAATCTCAGCAAATTAATGTTGTTTTTCTTCCAGCATGGCAAAAATTGTTTTTTTTTTCTTTTCCTTTACTTTTTATTATTAGTATTATTATTATTTTCTACTTACAAAATACTGATAAGAATGAGAACATTTTATAATTTTTTTCATCTTTCACTTTTGACGACTTCTCTTTTTTTTTTATTCATTATTATTAATATTATTTATTAATATGCGAAATACTTTTCATATAAATCATTTTCATCTCTTTTTTTTCCTACCATTCACATTCACTCAATTATAGCAATTTTTTTCTCATATTATTATTATTATTATTATACTTTTTTTTCATTCATATTGCACAGTCATCAAAAAGCAATAAATTGCACAGTTTGTGCTTGGCATGAAACTGAATGTTGTATATGTTTCTATACAAGTAAGAAAGGAACAAAAAATAAATATTTCAGATAAGAATTTGTCGATTACATGTCCAATGAGCTTCTCTCTCAACTTACACAAATGTCCAAATTCATAAATGACAAGGCTTATTCTTTCTGGAGAGAAATGTAACTGAATATCCTGCACCAATTCACAATGCAAAGCTTTTTACCTCAATTTGCAATTTTCTGCTCCATTTTTCACGTTTAGTGAACTGTGAAACTGTCAATTATTGCGTTATGGCAGTTAGAAATTGCTATCCTCTTAGGTAATTTTGATTCAATGTCTACAGTCCTTGCTGTTTATGAATTTAGATTGAGGTTATAATTTGCTTTGGTTTTAGGAATTGATTGGTTTCATAATTTGATGAACTGAGCTTAGTTTATTAGCTGAATTGCGCTGAATTAAACTTTTTTTGACTAGAATTCAGCTCAATTGCATCTTGATGATGTCAAATACTTAGCTGAATTCAGCACAATTAAGCTTATTTTAACCATATCAAACAAAACCAAATTGAACTGAATTCAGCAACAATCAGTTGAACCAAGCTGAATTCAGCAATGATAAGTTGAATTAAGTTGAATTTAACAAGTATCCGTCAAATTATGCTGGCTTTAAGAAAAATCTTTTAAGTCAAGTAAAATTCAATTAAAATCAGCTGAATTAGTCCAAATCAAGCTGAATTCAGTAACGATCAACTGCCTCAAGTTCAATTCAGCAAGTTCGCTGAATCAAGCTGATTTCAATTGAAATCAGTTGAATAAATCTGAATTCAGCAAAAACTAGCTGAAAACAAACCTAATATTTCCTAGTAATTCACAAAGAAACAACATTTAACACAGCAAGTCCATTAATTAGCGTAAAATTCAGATGCAAAAACTTTTCAATTACATTTCCCTCTATGGATTAGCCCGTCAATATAATCTTTTCTCTGTTATTTCTCTACGTTTTATTCCATCTTTTTCATTATAAAAAAAAAAACTTTTCCATTTTCCATCTATACTATGTATAAGAAAATATTCTGTAGCGCGCAAAATTAAATAGAAAAAAAATCTTTCTTTTCACTATTTTTTTTTTTTATCATTTCCAATTTCACAATATTCCATCCATATAGCTTGAGATGTAGAGGATGGAAGAGAATAAAAAAGTTTCAGGAATTCCGGCCACAGAAATAGAATCAACGAAACAGAAATTAAAGTTGGTATGAAGAAAAGGAAAGAAAGGAAAAAAACTTAATTAAAAGTCATTAATTTAACCAACAGTTCCCTTAAAAAGCATTCGACATAGTTCTCCAGTACGAGCTGACTCGCATAGCAGTAACTGCCTCGATCTCTCCACGAGACTTTTATTGTTTCCAATTAATCTTTTTCCCTTTGCATCTGTTTCCGTCGTCCATTCGTCTAAATCAGGACCATCCTCCTTATCATATTCTCCATCTGATGATGATGATGACCTGTCAGCTTTATTTATTTGCTTTATGTCCTCGACACTATATTGATTCTTCAAATTCGATACGATTTCGCTGCTTACACTATAAACATTCTCAACTACTGGTTGCATTGGCTCGGGCTGTTCCGTTGTTGATGTTGTTGTTGTTGTTGTCCGCATTTTATGTGTTGTCCTTATTGGTAATGGCTTTCTAATATTTACGATAATTTTTCCATTGCCACTCGATACAATATCAATATCTTCATCATCAGTATCGTCGTAATTCTCATAATAGAGATCATCATCGCTTTGTGTCATTTGATTTCTCTCGACGGGCCTTTCAATAATTGTAACTGGCGCCGTTGCAGGTTTCTCATTTGCAAAATTGCCAGAATTATCGTAGCTTTCGTCTCCATAATTGTCATTATCGATATAAATTGTGTCATCGATTGCCTCCTCTTGTGAGCCTGACGACGAGCTCGAGGACAATGACGAGTATGAGTTGAGACCTGACGAGTAAGTACGATCAATAGGTGTTGGCCTTCGGCCTGAGGAAATTCTAACATTTGAATTCACAAAGCCATTGCTGAGGCTGTTCATTCCATTGTTATTATTATTTGCATTTCCGTAATAGCTTTTTGTGATATGGACAGAATTCTCCTTTTCGACCGTAAATGTTTTTTGATGGCTTGCGGGTAGATAATAATATAGGAAGATGACACAGGATATCATCAAAATGGAAATCAAAGCATTGATTATCAGCAAGAGGATTTTCCGTTTTGATAGATTTTGGAAAAACATTTTTGCTGATGCCTTTATTTGGTTTCTTATAAGTTCTTAATCTTCAGCTGAATTGGGATTTTTTCAAAGCTGAATTGAGCTTAGTTGTCAGCTGAATTTGTAATCTTTGTAGCTGAATTACGCTGAATTGAGCTAAGTTTTTGCTGATTTTAAATATTTTTGGACTGAATTTTATTCCCTTTGCGCTGAATTGAGCTTATTTTTTGGTGAATTGCGCTGAATTTATATTATTGTTCAGTCGAAATGCACTGAATTGAGCTTTATCTAAGTTATTATCCTTTTCTGCTGAATAGCACTAAGTTGAAATCTCTTAACGCTGAATTCCAACAAATTGAACTCTTTCTGTGCTAAATTTTAAATCCTTTTCCACCGAATTGCACTGAATCGAACTTAATTTTCAGCAGAATTTAATTTGATTATTTTTTTTCTTGCTTTTTTTATGTGTTATAAATTCTCTCGCACTGCCACTTTTCACCCCTCAGAATGGATGAGGAGATATAGCATAGATATAAAAAACTCACAAAAAGTATAAGATATCTTTTTTTATGTACAAAAATTTTTCTTATGATTTCTTTCTTGTTATGTATGTTGTTGATATGCGGGAGGGAAAATATGTAAATTTATTACTCTTCACACTTTCTTCTAATTCCTTTTTACTCTTTTTTTTCTTTTCTTTTTTTATTTTTTATTTGTTGGCTCGGAGCAAAAAATTCACTTTTTATAAAAAAAAAAATTTATTTCAAGTTTTCACTAATAAATCCTGTTTGTTGGACGTCCATTTACATTCTAATCACATTTGGCTTTTTGATAGTTTTCAATATTTTCACTAATTAATAATAATTTAAATTGGAATTTCCCATCTGCACGAGAAAAGATTCCCACTTTTCGAGCTGTAAAGCTTTTTTGCTTCTGTCGACACAAAAAATTTCTACTCGAGTTTCTCTACAGCACAGCACACAAACGCGAAAATTGGTAGATTATTAGATTTATCTTCAACGTATTCCTTTATCCGTACACACAATAAGGATTGCTGTGGGTGTGTGCGTACGGAAAATTCTATGAACATGCGCACGACACAAAATGTGTCGACAATTTATTTTCTATTTTGCTAGCGGAAGTGATAATGTTGAGGGTAAATTGAAATTCTTGGTTCCTCTACGCTTTCCATACAAACAAGTAGAAATTCATATTAGAATGCTTATGATGATGATTATGATCATAATTAATATGTTAAAAGGGATTTTCTGCAATGAACGTGAATGGGAAATTACAAAAGTATCCGTAAATGAATGAACGCTTTTACCTCCTTGCTGTGGTATTTACGATTATAGTTTTTTCGGGTGCGCACTTTCTGAGGGAAATTATGTCTCACAAAATCTTCTTTGAGATTGATTGAGTTTTGAGGATGAGGTTGGTTGGTTTTGACGTCGCTTTTCTGGTGGAAGATACCCTTTGAATAATCAATTAAAATTATGCCTCAAAACTCAATTTTATGTTATCAAAAATCAATTGCAACTTTAACGTATTTTAAAAATTTAAAAATAGCTGTTGTATGGTTTTGTTGAATTCAACTGTTTTAAAATCAAATGTTTTATTTAACGGGTTTTTGTATCAATCAGAGATCGAAGTCGATTAAATCGGTGGCTTAGAAGTAATTTATTTCGATCTCTGATCAATTTTATCTCCCTTCAGCAATTACTCTTAATAATTAATACATAAAATGTAACCGTTAAATTCAAAATTTGAATTTATAAAAGTTCGATTCAACAAAACCATACAACAGCGATTTTTTCAAATTTTAAAAATACGTTACAAATTTTTCTTAAATGTTTTGATATAAATTAGAATTTAAAACAGTTTTGAAGCACTATTTAAATTTATTGCTGAAAAAATCAAAACTGTTACCCAAAATGCCACCCCGAAAAGTTTACTCCTCATTTTGAAACTGCTCAAAAAGGAAACAAAATGTTAATTTTGCAAAAGCATCAACATTAAAATATTTTTAAATTGCTCTTTATTTATTACATATTAAAAATTAATTAACACATTAACATCATTAACCCTTAAAAAATTGTCCTTGATTAACAGATAAACGAAAAAATAAAAATTACATCATAAAAAATAATTTATTTTATCACACACGTGCATAAAAATCTTGCTTGGAGCCGTTTAAAAAAATATTATAAATCAGTTCATTTTATATCAGCAATATCAAATGTTGAAATAATTATGTTAATCGAAACGGAGCAAATTGTGACAATTAGCAGCACATTATTCGCTATGTTTGTGCGACGATGCTCGTTTATGTTATTTAAATCGAATACGATTGCGAGAATGCACATAATTAAGCCTTGGACGACCTGAAATGTTTAAAATCATATTGTTGAATTAGAATATATGCGTGGATTAGATGATATGCGATGATTAATCTGTTTTTCTGTCATTAAATATTTAACTACATGCTGTGAAAAATTATGTTTTGACTAGTGGATGCTTGAAAAGTTTGGTACAAATGTTAAATAAATTAAATTGGTGTTAATATTGTGTTTTCATTTTTAACGGTTTTTTGAAATTTGAATTGAGTTATAAGTTGATTTTAAATTGTTAAAACCATGCAACAGCAAAAGTTCAAATTTTAAAATAATCTGTGTAAAACCCTACAAATTATTTTTATTTGTAGAACCCTCCAAATGTTTTAAAATATTTCAAAATTTCAAAAGCCGTTAAAATAAATTCATTTTTCTCCAATCCAAATGTTTGAAGCCAATAATCTTAAATTCATCACTTCTGCACTCAAACAATAAAGAATGAATTCCCAACTCTGTAATTAAAAAGCTCAACATTCTCTAAATCTACAAGCTACCTGCAAACAAATTGAGATTATGATTAGCACCAGAAGAATATGATAGAATCGATGATTTGCCGGTCCGATTGTCAAAACTCGTTTTAATTGAGCAGCGTTAGCAGTCAAAAGTGCGAGATCGAGCATTCCTAAAAGTAAATTCAATTAAAATAGCTTGCATCGATATTGATTTATGAATTAAATGAATAAATTATTGTACCTTGCGCGATTGTCTTTCGCGTTGCGAAATCATTTATATTGAGTCCGTAGAATTTGTCGGCCTGGAAGTGACAAAATAATCAGCATACATCCATAAATTTCATTGAATTAAGAAATTACAATTTTTGTCAAGTTCCCACCATCAAGACTGTGTGGAAAGACTTTTTTCGAAATTGTCTGGATCTCGTTGTTACTTCTTTCGTCCGTTTCGCCATTTTCATCCTCAAATGCTCGATTTCTGGACATTCCGAATAAATTCGAGCAGCCACAAAAGTTAACTAGTCGTCGAAACAGTTTGAACACAACTATCTTATACTAGGCAATAGATACACTATCACACGTTATCAATTGATGTGCTTTATCTGCCTTGTTAAAAAATTTTTTAAACTTGACACGGCTAGGAATGTTCTTTTGTAATATTCTCGTAGCAGTTACTTGTGCCTCATATTTGTTCAATTGCTGTTGTTTGCATGGATATTTCTATGGTAACGTATGGATAGAATAGATATAGTCAGGAATTATGAATGAAATACCGACTGTATGTGATGTCATGTAAATTCATGCTTTTACATGCATCGATTTGTGTGAGTTTGACTTTTATTAAGGGGGTTATTAAACTATTATTCGGTACGGAAAGGCTTGGATTAATCAGAAAATGTTGGAAGTTGGGAGCGCATGTAAAAATTTATTTTCTTTTTAACGGCCAAATAAAATTCAAATATAACAAGACACAAACCAAAAGTCCAAAAATTCAATTTTACCGTTAAAATTTGAATTTTGTTTGACTGTTAACAATTAAATGTCCCAAAGTGAACTTCTCACATCACTGAAACCTTCCATAAATTGCTAAACAAAGAAATAAAACATATCTCCATTTAGTAATTATGTCAAGCGACACATATAAATTAGAGGAATGACAATAATGCTAAGCGTCTGTTTTTGTTCCTAAGTTATTTATTAATAATTTGAATACTTGACAATATTCTTTTATAATTTATTTTCAATTTATGTAGATATCTAGACATTCCTACAAACTTTTAAATTTTCGATTATTATGAACATTGTGCATAAGTGGGACGGAATTATGTTACGACTTATCATTAAAAAAACAAAATTTAATCCTACACAGAAAATGGCAATAAATTCTCATTGTATTGTGCAATAAATTGATCTGGTTCCAATCAACAATAAAGTCTTCATTCTGTCAATTTGACATAAACTTTGGAACGTGAAAATACTCGAATATTTATTTCCAGACTTCTCAATTCCTTTTCAATTTCAATTTTACGATTTCGTACTCGAAGTGTCTCGCATGTCATTGGTAATCGATTCAGTTCGTCAACAAGCTCCTTGAAGCCTACAGATAAAATATTATTAAATTTACGTTAAATTTCAAAAATTTGAAGATAACGGTCGAAAATATTTCAAAAAGCTTTCAGCGATAAATTTTCAAACAAAAATTGACTGTTTTAATATCAAATATTTTTTGACAGTTACATTTTTAACTCGTAGATACTCACGTTTCTTAGCAATCCTCAACGACTCTAGTCTTTCATCCTCTGACAAAGGCACATGACCATCAGGACAGTCTGGATCATCTTTTGCTGCTTCTAATTGCTTCTTCTTTGCATCTACAATGTCACCGTTGCCTAGCTCTTTCTTCTTCTTATTTTTTGGAAGTTCCTTCTTATTCTTGTCAAGATTTGTAATTTCAATAATCTCTTCGTCCTTTTCACTGCCACTTTCATCAGAAATCAAAACTGTTTCTCTAGAATGATGAGCACTGCCTACTCTTTGAGTCCTGTCTTCTCGCCTTTGATATTCATTTAGGGAATTTTTATTTAACTTTTGGAGTGATGAGGAACTTTTAAGTATCGACGATGGCTGTTTCTTAGTGATTGATCCTTTATCGAGAAATTCACTTAAATTCTTTACATGTCTATCCATTTTCTCAGAATGATCATCCTTACGATCATGAAAGTGACTTTTATATCTTGGAGCTGCTTCCTGTTCCAATAAATGTCCTTTACTGCATGTATGAGATAATTGTTGCTGTGAAGTTCCAACTGATCTAATTGTTGATGCTGAAGGATATCTAATTATTGTGTCTTTAAGAAAGTATTCATCTGCTTCAGGATCAACTGTTTGTGTCCCGCAATCTTTGGATATTGACATAGTGCTTAGTGACTTCCTTAAATTTCCAATTGGTGCTTTTGTTGAGCATAACGTTAGAGAATTACTTGAGCGGCTTGGTGTTGGCATTCTGTCTTCATATAAGCTTAATTTCCTTGTCTTTTGTGGCTTATTAAACTTATTTGAGTATTCTGTATCTTTTGGTTTGCGCATCCTTTGAATATTCCTTATTCTCATCACATTTTCCTTTAGAAAATCACGTTTTGCAGGTGGTTCTGTGCGAGGGAATATCCCTCTTAGCGACTCCATTAAACACTTATTATTTTTAATTAATTAAATTCAACAAAAACTTAGAAATAAATCAAAACAATAAATTTGATATTATCCTGAAATTCGAAATAAACAGTTAAAAAATTTCGAAATATTTCGAACTTACGATGATGAGTTTGAATTTATTTTGACGGTTGTGATTATGAGAAAATGTTTGTTGCAGTTTGTTGCTTCTAATCATTAGAAAAGAATGTATATTACTTCATTTATTTTGTTTTGAACAGAAAACTAGTTATTGTGGATTTTCAAAACAGGCAAATTAAGAAAATTTTGTGAAGTCAACGTTTACTGAAATTCAAACTTTTAAAGGAATGATTATGTCAATTCGAACGAAATTGTTTTGATCATTTTTGCAGCGAATAAGCACTTATTCGTTGACTAAGAGATTGCATTAAGTAGATCTGATCTATTATAATGCTGTGAAATCCCTCAAACTCATACTTTAAGTCATTTTTATGCAATTTTTCATGATTTTAAGTTTCAATTCATTTGTAAACAAAGACATTTAAATTCAAAAAGTCCAAAAACCGTTTGTTTTTAATTGGACAGGAACAAAACACTTGATAGCTTATCTCATAACTATACGGAAATAAACCTGCGGAAGTAGAGATTTAATAAAAATCGCGTCACTTATACATTTTAAGAATTCTTATCGAATCTAAAGCAAGAATAATACCTAATTAAAATGCCTTCTTCTTAGTTCCACTTGAAATTCAGCAATTTATCACCAATACTTGCTATTGATACAATTAATCTCGAATTGGCATGATAAGATTTGATAAAATAGAAGTATATAAAATTGGTTTCAACTTCCCTTACTGTTCAGTCTAAATTAAGAAATTAGTCAAAAGAAAACAAGGCAATATGAAGCATTCAATAGCTGTAGTATTATTATTTTTAGCCAGTAACGTTTATTGTCAAGCTCCAACTCCAGTCTGTGACCCAAACACGGTCTCGTGGCACAATCATTTGTGGTACTGTGATCGATACTTTCTGTGCTTTTGGGGAGCAACAAATGAGAGATTTTGTGCTCCAGGATTACATTACAATCGCGTTACAACACAGTGCATGTCACCAGAACTAGCTAATTGTGAAATAGACACAGAAATTTACTGTCCAGATGTAGACGATCCAAATCAATTAGAATTCAGATCAGATCATCAAGATTGTGCAAGTTACTTCCTGTGCTTTAATGGAAATCCAATTTCAAGAACTTGTGGACCTGATTTCTGGTGGGATATGTATGATAATTGGTGTACATCTCCAGATCTTGTAAGATGTGATCCTCGAGCACCAAACAATCCAAATCCAACGGCCACAACAAGACGTGCCTAATAATAACTGAATGTGCATTGAATTTGAGTGATCTTATATAAGTGAATAAGGGGCCGTTCACTTATGACGTCCAGGGGGGGGGGGGGGGGGGGGTCAGCAAGAAAAGAACAATAGAAATTCCTGGAAATCTATTGTTCTTTTATGAAAAATGACCGTTAAATTCGGACGTCATAAGTGAACGGCCTCTAATGTGTATATTTAATATTTAAGTTTATTTCAATTGAATAAAGTTTTCAAAATAAAAATAACGGAAAATTTCAACCCCCCCCCCCCCCCCTCCATAGAGATTGAAATTTCATACAAAGTTTTTCGGTATTCAAATCTAAAATTAATCAATAACCAAAAAATTCCTACAATTTTTTTTCATAACGGTTATTTATTATTGTCATTTAGTTCCATCCTTAATCTCTAATTCCTGATAACAATTTCCATTAATTCTATACTAAATCTATCCAGTAATACATCTGGCAGCTTCTTTGAAAAAGCACTCGCCCATAATATGATCAAAGTGAAGATTTTGAGCACATCTTGCTAAATGCGACCTGTTATTGTGACAAATAAAATAAAATTCACAATTTACTGGATGTGCTATGAATTGTAATCTAGTTAAGCTAGTTTCAGGACAATCGATTTCTCGAATATCCGGAAGAACTATGTCTGGCTCACATTGTGAATCCTCTTCTCGAATGCACTTGTTTGTATTTGGATCCCAATGTAAAGTTGCTCCACAATCGAATGGTTGAGGATTTCCATTAAAACAAATGAAATATTTTTGACAGTTGTTTCTGTCAGGTAAGAAGATAATGTTAAGTGGATCATTTCCAGATGGGCATGTAGTTGGTAATACACAGTCAGACTGTTCTGGTCGCACACATTTAAGCTGTGATCTTGAGAAGTGTAATCCATTGCTACATGATTGTGGTATTTTATTTCCAGCAAAGCAAAGGAAGTAGTTGGTGCAGGAATATGCATTTGGCATTTTAGACACTCCTGATGCTGGGCATTCTGTTGGAATTGGGATTGGTGTTGTTGTTGTAGTTGGCGTGGGTGGAGTGATTTGATCTGGGGGAATATTGCAAATATGATCAGTCACATACATGCATGACTGATGCTCATCAATAAAGAAGAAGCTATCTGGGCAATTTTGAAGGTAAAATATGCCATCGAAGCATGTATAGTATGACGAACTGTAAAAGAAAATCCAATGATTAGTAAAAATAGTTTCTTTATCTAGTCATTATATCTAAGTCAGTCAATGACATTTGTGTGACGATATTCAAGATAAAATTCCAAAAATATCATGTGACAGCACTCAAATGACTTTGATTATATAGAATGTAAACAGTCCTGACCAGAACAAGAATCGATAACAAAACTTACCAATTGTATGTTGTTGGGAAATGTCTTCCATGATTTGCGGTGTTGCAGACAACATTCTCAGGTCCTAAATCGCAATCTGACATATCTTGAACCACACAAGATTGCATTGAGTTGCTAAACCAAAATGGATAGGGACAGCTTTGAAGATGGAAGTTTCTATTAAAGCATGTGTAGAATGTTGAGCTGTGGAATGGATTGAAATGATTTTTTAAGGAATTTTTCAATTTAAATATTTTCTGAATAGTGCTTCATTAGCTGATTATCGCTGAATAAGCTGAATTTACTGAATAGCGCTGAATTTGCTGAATAAATTTTAAACAGATTTTTGAATCAGAATTTTGCTTTACAAAAAAAGGTTTAACGGAATTTATCGGTTTAAATTTTTTCTGAATAGTGCTGAATTTGCTTCATTAGCTGAATTTTGCTTAATAAGCTGAATTTACTGAATAGTACTGAATTTACTGAATAGTGCTGAATTTGCTGAATTAATTTTAAACAGATTTTGAAATTGGATAGGAAACGGTTTTCAAAAATTTGAATATCTGAATTCAAAAATTCAAATTTTTAACGGTTTTTCTCCAATTTTTATCAAATCAATAATTTAACACTTTTAAGGCTACAACTGCACCAAAAAAATTGAAAATAGTCAATTTTAAGCTTACCAATTAACGCCACTAGGATAATGTCTTCCGTGATTGGTTTGATTGCACTCAATGTTTGTTATTTGACATGCAACAAATGCACAAGAAAATAGAACAGAAAATAAAACGCAGAAGAGTAGCTTTTGTGCCATGTTTGCCTTCCGTCAACAAAACTTAAACTAAATATTATTCCTTTGTCAAAGCCAAACTTTCAATTATTTATAGTAGTTTCAAGGAGATTAAGTTATCAGCGGCGATAAATCAACGGAAAGAAAATGTCGAGAGGAAAAAGGTGTAATTATTGATAAGATACCTCTTATCGCCTTACTTCCGTTCTCCATTTATGATCGAAAATATTCTGATATCAATATTCTATGGAAATGGCAAAAAATTTCACATCTACGTGCATCCATAAATAGATGCATTTCAATCTCCATATTAAATCATAAAACACGTGTTTACAATCATCTTTAATGGAAAGACAAGCGCGCCACATGATCATCTGTAATCTATATGGATAAAAAGATTTTCTTTAACAGGCTTTACGCATGCTATAATGCAATGGAAATCGCAAAAATATTGATTCCTGAAATAGTCGCAATAACATTTGTGTAATTTGTTGACATTTCTCTGTTCATGTTAAATGTGTAATGCCAGCCAGCCAGCTCTTTTTCAATTTAATTTTAAAATAAGTATATACGTAATGTCCAATATCGGGCATCGAAACTAAAACAAGATTAGTTAACATGCTGCACTGTTTGAATTGATTGACACGCTTCACTTCCAATAATTTCTCTGTGTATCACATATCGAACAGTATCAGTCATACGTGTGCAAAAATTGCTAAAGAATGTCCATCCATGCCTTTATTTGACTCACAAATTTGCGATTGTCGTTAACTTATAAAGTATACTGCCATTTTTGATTTTCTCATCCGTCGACTTCAAAATTGTGTGCTATTTTACATTTCAATTATGCATTCACAACGCATATATTTTGCAAGATTCCTTCATTGTTGCTCTCTTGGCTTCTTGTGCCTGTAAAGAAATTTTTTTGAAACAATTTTGAAAAAAATGCAGCTAATATTGCAACGTTAACTGACTGTGTCAACACTGGTTCTAAGACATTATCGAGCAACAAGCTTATTGAGTCTCTGGTTCTTGCTAAGTTCAGGAGTTAATGGTTTTAAGATTTATAAACTAAAACATCCAGAACTTAACCTAAAATAAAATTTCAAACTTTAAACCAATGCGCCATAGTGCCCTTAAAAGCACTAGAACTTTCATTAAAAAGAAGAAAATTTGAATTTGCAAATGCGAGAATGAGAGGAGCGTCGAACAGCATAGCAAGAAATATTTTTAATTAACAAAAAGAAAGAATATACAGCAACAAAAAAAAAACCGGAACATGTATGGATGGACACGTCGAAAATATCACCATAATAGAGCTGCTTTTAACCAAAACAGTTCAATAAAATGGACACCCATGACTCGTTCGACATCGTTTGCTGGAATGTTAAAAACTGGCTGTTTATGCATTTATAAATTAAAATTTTCCATCGACTCATTAAAATTTACCGCCATTTTTTTTCATTTTATTTTTATGTTAAATTTTTTTTAAATTATTCTTTATTATTTTTCTTATGATATCAAAAATACAAAATAAGTGGTTGTTGTAATTCATTATTTATCGGCTATCACACATCATTAATGGAGCAACAAAGATATTTTTTAACCTCTCGACTGGGATAGTGGAGGGAAGCTATTTGAAGTCGCTGAATTCGAGCTTGTTTTGTTTTGGTTTTGAGGGTTATAAAATGTTGAGAAATGTTTTTTTTTATATTAGGTGTTTTTGAGGTTATCAGGTGTTTTTTTGTGATCACCTAAGTGCCGAAAAATCAAATTAAATTCGAAAATTCAATAAATTGAAACGAATTTCGAACACTAACACATCCATAAAATGTAATCAAATTATTATTTGCAAATTAAATCATATTAAAAGGGGCGTTCACTTATTACGTTCGTATTTTAGGGGGGATGGGGGGGGTTGAAAAATTGTAAAAAAATGTACCATAGGGGGGGGGGGGGGGGTGTCAAGAAGTATGTAACGTTTAACTGTCGTCTGTCTTTTAAAAAAAATTCACGAAAAAAATTTGTTTACAAATTCACAGCGAAAACATTTTTTTTAAATTTTCCACCTTTTCAAAGGGGGGGAGGGGGGGGGGGTTGTGAAATGTAACATATTGTAACAAGAGGGGAGGGGGGGGGGGGTGAAAAAAGTCATTTTATTGCGTAACGTACACAAAATGTTCATAATTTTTAATTCAAGTTCTAGATTATGTCATAAGTAAAGCTTGCAATAATTCCGTATTAGCGAATTTCACTTTAAAAGTATATCATAGTATTAGTGTTCGAATTTCAAATTTTTTGACAGTTATTTAACTGTATTTAACACAATTTCTATTTTATTCAATTCATATTTCTCTTCTTTATGTTTAAAGCCATAACTGCCTATAACAACCATTTTATTCGAGAGTTGATCGAATCAAAAATTGAATTTAAATATTATTAATTTATTTGCCAATATTTCCTCATCAAATAATCATTTTTAAAATTGACTTTTCTTTATGATCTCGGACCGATGAAGACCCACCAAGTAGAAAACTCATAAAGTTTTGATTTGTTTTGAGTGCCATGCTTTTATAGATTTTTAAATCCAGCTAGGTGTAAACTTGTGACATTCATCTAAATCTTAATAATCTCTCAACATTTCATATTCCTCCGCACAGATTATTGATATTATTTTTTATATATTTAATAATTGCTATTCATGTACTTAATAAAATATAGTTTTCCATTAGTTTATTTTGGCAGATAGTTGAAGATTATTTCCTCCATCATTTAATACATCAAAAAGTTGAAGTCATTTGAAGGATTTTAAAATCGAGAGCGTAGAATGAAATTGACATGTTAATCAATCAAAGTTATTTTGTAGTTATTCGAGAATTTTATGTGTTCAACTTGTTGCTGTTGATTAACAAGTAAGAAATTCAGTGAATTTTAAATTAAGTTTTGAAATCAAAGATTTCGAAATGTTTTCAATTAATTTGTTGACAATGTTGCACAACATTCAATGAAAGATTTATATGCTGTCACTTAAATCAGTCTGGGTTTGATGCAATGTCAATAAATTAAGGTAAGACAGGGGCGTAGCAAAAGAAGGGCCCGAGGGGTGTGCAACTAAGATTTTTTCCTCAAATCTATCCAATTCTTTAAATTCTAGTAATATATTGACAATACAATCATTAAGTCACGGTGGGGGGGGGGGGGGGGGCAAAGAGGTCAATACCAAATCACTGGACATGCCTTATATCAAAAATTATAGATACATTCGAAATAATTCAGTTTCTATGTTAAAAAAAAAACATTTTGAATAAAAATGAGTAAACCCCTAGGATATCCAGAATAGGTGTGTCTCCAACTAGCACCTCAATCATAATCAACTTCACCTGACTTCAACACTTGACATATTCATGAATAAAATCCAATATCACTCCTTTAGGCATAAAATTTTATTATTAATTTTAAAAAATATAAAATCAGTGACACTTTATGCTTCTCTTAAAAAATGAATCATAAAGCATCACACCTCCTGAACCTCGTTTGTTATTATTAATTTATCAACAAAAAAAAAATCTCATTAAAAAAGCACATTTTATGTCCCAAAAATGCGCAGGTTAATAGTTCTATTCATTCGAAAATGAATCTCAATAAAATATAAAATTTGATTATTTCACACTTTATAGCTATGAATATTTAAAATAGATGAATTAAAAATTTTTTTTCATTACATGTGACTAGGTTTTTCAAGAACTTTACATTATAGAAAAACTTTATCATTATCTCATTCGATTGAACTTACTTAAGAATTGTCAATGACACTCAATGTCAAAATTAATCGACATAAGAGCACACTGAGCTCACTCAAAACAGGAAGGTAGATTGAAAACTAATTTAAGTCTCTTAATTTAAAAAAAATTATTCAATTAACAATGCATTATGAGTTAATTATTGTATGGATTAATATTTTTTTTTGCTTGATTTTAGTCATTACGAGAAATTTTAAAAATTAAGTCAAATGATGAGCATGGTGTTAAGCGATTCTCATTCAGCTTCTGACTTTATTTTTCCCGTCATTAAAAGCTTTATTGGAATCTTCTTTGTTATGATCTCCTGTGTTGAATTATCCTTTTGAATTGCGAACGGTATTGATATTGACTGCATTCCATCTGTGAATGAGAAAGAGATTTGTTTAAATTTATTTGGAATTAGATCTTTGATGCTTTTGTTGTTTCTTGTGTTGGACAATTTTAATTTGGTTGGAAGATCAGAACTTCCTTGGAATTTCAAGAACAAGATTGCTTTAGAATTCTGGATTATTCGCAGATTAGTTCCTCAATTTGTTTGATTTGTTTTCAAACATTTGGAACTTGAAGCTTCTAATTCATGAAATTTTCCATTGAAATAAGCGTTCAGTTTGTCATAATATCGATCTTTTAGTGTTTTATAGTCAGAAGTTCGACAGTAATTGAAAATTAATAGATCCAAGTCTGTAAAAATGATTGTAATAGAGAAAAATTCAAGATTTAGCTTGTTGTGGTAACGAAAACTTGTTATCTGTGACAACAAACATAGATGTTGTGATCTTCGACTTGAATTGACTAAAAGCTACTTAAAATTCAATCTTCTAAACCTTAAATTATCTTCATAAATCCAAAACCATTCCCAAAAAGCCTTCAAGCTACTCACCTTCGTCGACCGAGACCTGCAACTGTCCAGATTGTATCCAACTTTGAAGTAAATTTTGAGGCAAGTTCGAGAGGCTTTCTAGTAAAAATTTCTGATTATCTAATATTTTCTCATTAATTCTATGATTATTCTGGGTCTGCGTTTGCTGTAAGTGCTGTTGTAGCTTGCTTTCATCCTCATGTACCCTCTGCTGTTGTTGTTGTTGCTGTTGATGATGCTGTGGATGAATTACAATTTGCGATGATTGTTGCTGTACCTGTTGTTGCTTATGATTATTCTGTTGACTCGGTACAATAAAATTTTCATCATTTTCAGACTCATCTGAATCATCTGTACTTGTAATGTCATCCTGAAAAGAAAGCTGAATTGATTGAATTTGAGTTTTAGAAAAATTGTTTTTTACAGTGCAAGATATTTAATAGATGTGAAATAAATTAAAAAATTTGTACAATAGAATGAATAGAATCAACAGATAGGAACAGAAGGCCACAGCATGTCGAACAATATTTTATGTGCCATTGAATAAAAAAAAAGCTATTCTGCAATTGTGAACACATTTCAAGTCAATATTTTTCAATTTTATTATCTGCTACTGCTTATTTCCACTCACAATTGCAATTTCTCTCGTTATGGGCATCGACGGAGTGCAACAACATTTTCTTTTTAGAATTTTTCGTCTTTTTCTTTTGAAATTCTTTTATTTAATTTTTATTTTATTTTTTCGTGTACAGCATAGGCAGTTGAAATGGGATTTTGTTACATATGTGCAGCCATGCAGTCTCGAACGAATAATATGCAGTTTTCAGTCACGACAAAAGGGGAATTAGATGGAGAGGTGAGGAAAATGGCAATTCATGGGAACTTATGCCAATTATAATTATACAAAGCTTTTTTGATTTATAATTTCATTATGTAGTCAATAAGGTGTGAGGAAGGGAAATGATTCAGTGACTGAATTTTTGTTGGATGTTTCTATGTTTGCAACATAGTTTCATGATTTGTTCTGAGTTTGGAATTTTTATTAGTAAGACTTTTTTTTTTGATTGAATGGAAATCATTTGAATTGAATTGTAGCTAAGCCATTCAAGAAAGCTAGCTTCATGCTTAATACAATGTAGAATCATGATTGCCTGATGTTTATAGATTTGATTTTAATCTTGTCAGTAGGTAAATTTTGAAGCCCAATATATCCTGACTTGCAACATGTCCTCTGGTTACAAAATTCAAAAAATTCCAATTTGACCAAATTGAATAATTTTAATTTGCATCTAATTATCACTATCAACATCAAACGACCACAATAGTAATGCCTCTAGTTTCACATCATTCATACCCAAAATTTCACATCAAATAAAAATTATTCATCCCTATTCCATCAACCAAATAAACATTCATTAATATTCTGACCCCAAAAAGAGCAATAATACAATATTGTGCTGCAAAAGAGCAGAACTTGCAATAATTCATGAATGTACATAACAAGTAATGTATCATCACCATTAAACGAGGTGTGAATTTATCGACAAAGAGAGCTGTCAATGAAATAATTTTTAAATTTAATAAATAAAAAATTGAATGAGATGAAAATTAAAGACCGCGAAAATGTTCATTATCATTTAATTAAAGTGCGTTATTGCAATTGCTTGCGAAGAGGATGACAAAAGGCAGCCGACGAAGGACAAAAGGGGGATAATTTACATATAAAAGCATTTGGAAATTCTATAATTATGCGATATCATATCTGCATTTCCAATTGTTTTATTGTTCTTCTTAAGTTGTGAACTTCTTTGATTCTTGGCGCGCTCTCTTTGCAATTCCATTGCTTATTTTATTGTGCAAAAAAAAAGATAATTTTTTATTCAGATTTTCTTGCCATTCTCGCTATTCATTGAGCTAGCCGCACATGTGAAATACTTTACGACTAGTTTTTCATATGTGCATCGTGAGACAAGATGTCACCAAGCAATTCCACCGATGCTGTTTGCATCAAAATAAAAAAAAGTCTTTAATTTAATTCACAATGTCTTGATCTTTATGCTGTATGTGCGTCGATTGAAGATCTTCAACTTCTATTTTTAGAAGAAGTCGATAAATCTTGAGACTTGTGAACTTATGCCTTTAAACAACGCACATTATCGATATTTTTATTTTTTATTTCTCTTGCCCTTCTTCTTTCTTCATCTTCTTATTTCGCTTGTAACTCTCGCGCCGATTGCCTTCTACGGTGATTTCTGATTGGTCAAAATGAGTTAAGAAAATAACAATACATAAACAAGAGCTTCGCGAATTAAAGATGTAAAATAAGTTTATGTATTTTCTTTGCTTGGTCTTGATTCTTTTTGGATGGAAATTTGTTTTAAGATTATGAGGCCAGCCAAAAAATAACTTAATATCAATCTTCAGAATCTAATTCAATTTTATGAGATTCGAACTCATGATTTTAACTTTCAATTTAATTGACTCATTTTTGATTTATTTTAATTGTAATTCTTAATTCGATTAAGTTGTAAATTAAATGGTTTAGTTTTAATTTTCGTGAAGCTTGCAGTTTGACTAGATTTCTAAAGCTTCGAACATTAACAAAAATTGAAAAATTAAATGTATAATCAACTTATTACTAATTCTAAGTTTCTTTTACATTTCATAAAATATTTTTCATTAATTTTCTTTATTATTGGCATTTTCATTTTGTAATGTAAATCAACTGATCTTAGTTCGTTGATTCTTGAGACATGTGTGAACAAATGTTGTCTTATATTGTCTTCTAGATTTGCTTGACAAGCTAAAAGGATCTTTAATGAAGTACATTTAATTAAAATCATGCAAATTTTCTATTTTTGTTCAATTAATATTTATAAACTAAGTTTAAAGTTTTCTAAAGCATTCAAAGCTAGTTTTATCTTTGACTAGTTTTATAGTTGAACTTAATGATTTTCAAAATTTCTCCTAAAAACCTCAATAAAACATTCATATGATGAAGAAACCTCAAAAATATCACATCCAACAATTTCTTCAAATAAGTCTCGCCTCTCAAAAAATAAAAAATTCCCACCTCATTCCCAGCAAAAAGCTCACTTAAAACTCTCTTTTTTCAACATTTTCAATTCTCTTTTCATCATTTCGAGAGCGTCTCCGTGCCTAACATTCAAACCGCGAGCAAGTTTTTTTATTTATTCAGTTTATTTTCTGATTTCGTTTTGTTTGGATTTCTCATTCGATCATTGATAGTTTGCTTTTATTTTATTTTATTCCTTTTGCTCTTACGTTCTACCCAACGTTGTGTAGTTTTGCATTACGGAAAAATATTAAAAATTTAAATTAATTTGTCATTTTTAGAAGTCGGGAATGTGTCATTTACGATAAGATCTTAACATTGCGTGAGTAAAATTCATGAAAATCTTTTTATAGCAGTGCAAAATATGTCTCAATTGCAACAGGTGTTTTTGGCTTGTTGAGGCGACAAAATGTTTTTTTATTTATTATTTATTATTTTCGGTAAGATCACGCGGTAAGTACAGACAGTCAAGTTATTTCATTGTTTGCACAAAAGTATAAAAAAGAGAATATAAAAAAAAATCTAATCTATACGCAATGAGCAATGAACAGCAACAAGCAAGAATGGGGGAGAAAATCATTTATTTATTTATTTCGGTACAGAAGATGCATGCATTGTGGTTTGAGAAAAATAAAAAAAAAATGTGAAAAGAGAAAAAATTCTTCAATCGAAATTCAATTTAAAAACAATTGAATTTGTAATGAAATTCTCTCAATAACGTTTGTTCGTTCGGTGCAAGGCAGCATGCCACATGTTGGAATTTCCACAAGTTTTTCACCTTCATGCGCTAATTTTCCTTAAAATTCTCACACATTCATTATATTTCATCTCCAAATTACGCATTGGATGTAAAAATTTGCCACCAATTGCATAAATTAGCGCGCAAATCCGACGAGTTAATTCCACCTGCGCACCATTCACATTGCTTTATTGAATAAATTTATTTTTTTCTCGTTCCTTAGCAGCGCTCAGTATCATGTGAAAGGCACGAAAAATATAAAAGAGAGAGAGAAACGCAAAAAAATACAGACTCTGATACATGTTGCGATGCAGTTCATGCTTGTTGTTGATCAGGGCGAATCTTTTGTGAACGATCGATTATTGTTATTGAGAGGATATACATATAAAAAAAAAAATACAGTAGCAATTGTCTCATTGTTACGCAATTTTTATTCTCCTTTTTGCCCTTAATTGCATTCTCCTTTTTCATTGTTCTTTCTTTATTATTATTATTATTTTATGTTACTTCTTTTATTTATTCTCTTCTTGTTCTTTACAGGTTATAACAATTGGGATTTATATCAATGTTCATTGCATGCGGAATAGATAGCGGGGATAAAGGTTATCTTTCCTTCGTTTTACATAAACTTTAATTTTTATTAACTTTGTATGTTTCGGGAGAGATCTTTGCGCTTCTGTTAATGCTCTTTAAGGTTTGAATCTGTTTGAATCGGAATTCTTTTGGTTCTTGGTTTATTAAATTTGTGGTTTTTTTGTACTTTTAGTAGATTCTTTATTGATTATTCTTAATGATATTAGATATTAATTTTTAAAATCAACTTTCATTTACTTTTAATCAAATTTGGCTTATTTTCATCAAAAATATGTGTAAAAATAAGTTTTCAAGTTTTTGATAAATTGTTTAAATTTGTGGGTAGTTCCAAAAACTCTTCTTTATTCTGAAACTTTCTGATATGGCCATATATGGTAAGAGCTTTCAAGTTAAGTCTAGTAAACGATAATACAGTTCAAAGGAAATTAATAGTAAAAGTTTGGATTCTGCAGATCACACTAGTATAGAATTTAATTCATTTAACTGAAAATCATGAAAAGATGAGTTTGAATCCTTCTGAGGACATGATTTTTGGGAGTATTTTTCTGGTAAACATTCAAATTAAGGCTCATTAAATCAAGTTCTGGCAAATATTCTTAACGAAAACAAGCAAACGAAGTTAATGGTTTTAAAAATTAAAAGTATTTGCTTTCTTCAGGGATTTAGTCAAGCGGGAGGGAGATTTTTCAGATATTTACTCGTCGACAGAGAGATTGATACTCAAATCTTATCCTGACTACGCGTGCTTAGCAAATCAAACTTAGCTTTCCAGAAATTTACAATAAAATTCTTCTTTCCAAGTTATCTAAGGATAACAATTCAAGAATAACAAAAATCAATGAATTCAATATTCTTTTTAAACAATGCGGGATAACAAAACTTTATTCATGAATATTTATCATTTTTCCAAGATGTGGTTTGAGGTTTTTCTTCTAAGAAAAAATATTAGTTTGATTTTTAAGAAATTCATTAAGGGTTCGTTCACTTATTACGTAACGCACTGGGGGGGGAGGGGGGGTCTAAGATTTTGTTACGCTTTGTTACAGGGGGGGGGGGGGAGGATGGGGTCTAAAAACTCGTTTTTTTGCGTTACGTAATAAGTGAACGAGTCCTAAGTGATGATGATTTAAGTTGAATTTACAGTATGAATTGATTCTCGGAATCTTAGTTCAGTAAACTCTCTTAGAGATTATTCAATTATGACGTCTAACATTAAGAGAGAATAAAATCTCATTTTCGAAAAGCATCATTTACGAATGATCCCATTAAAAAATACCCCAAAAATCACTTTCAAAATTTGGTTCGTTCATCTCAATAAAATATTACAAGATGATGTCACTCCGTTAGCCTTACAGATGCTAATTTCTCTTCACACGACATCCGAAAAAAAGACTAGTAAAAAACAGTATAAAAATTAATGAAAGACAACCTTAATCCCACGCCGTTATCTGAGCAATGAGTAGAGAAGTTGCTAAAAAGTGAGGTCAATCTTGAGTTTTTTTGGAATCCCTCAAAAAAAAAATAAAAAAAAATAGCTATAAGCCATCATCTCTCATCGCATTGTAAACAAATAAAAGAATAAAATTTATTGCATCTTTTTGTTTTTTGTTTGTGTTTTTTTCTTGTTTTTCTCTCGCGTGTCTCTTTACATTTTGTGTGCTGTGTATGAAGACGACGATGATAATTCGTGTAGAAAAAAAAAAGCTTACTTCTGCTTAGTTAAGCTACTACCCACTTAATGTTGATTCATATATTATTGCCATTAAGAAATTGAGCCCACCCCCGCACACACAAAATTGCTCTTTTTTTACTGTTGTTGTGCTGTGTGTGACTTTTTTTTGTTTCTCAACCAATGTTAATTAATTCTCTTTTCCTTCGATCTTTTCCGCTTTCGTATTAATTTTTCATTCATCTTATTGTCGTGATCTTTAAAAAGTGATTAGCAAATTGGCAATTAATTTGACCACTTGAAAAATATATTTTTTTTATCATCGATTTTTATCCTCCGCAATCAGAGTTGGAGTCTTCGGGGATGATTTAAGTGAATAATGTGAGCTACTTAGGGTTGCAACCTACAAGTTCTAAGTGGTTTACATCCTATTCAAGTACCAACTTTCAATAGAACATTGGAAATCAATTGTCTTTGACTAGTTATTGTCTATCAACTTAGAGAGAGGCCTATCTAGGTGCTACAATTTTTTCCAACTCTGAGACTAAAGACAAATTGCTTGAACTAAGAAAAGATCTATGTTTGATCTTAAATATCTACACCTAGTAAACCAACTCTGCTCCAACAAGTGTAAACTTGAAACCTCATGCAATGGCATTGAAAACAACAACGACACAGAAAGGTTGGGTGGGTGTAAAGCCGATAGAATTGTTAATTATTGCCAATACACAAAGCTAATTTATTCAAAGTGAGCGGAACAAAATTAAAAAAAAAAATTTGTGTTAATATTCCAATCACAACACACAAAGCTCTTCCATCTAATTTAAATTTCTTAATCTTTTTTCAATATTTTATTAATTATTTTATTTCGCTGCTGTTTCCGTCTATCAATTTTTTTTTTCATTCTTTTGTTATTCACAAAACTTCCATATTTGTAACACATTCTCATTATATTATTAATAGCAACATGATGCCTCAAGTGTGTCATTCTAAATAATTAGTATTGGCTTCTGTGTGTGCCTATACAATTTAATATTTATTGTATATTGAGGAAAAATTGAAAAGAGAGATGAAAGAAAATAATTGCGTAAGGAAATTCAGTAATTGCATTTTTAATGTGTCTTTTTCGCTTCTCTTTTTGACTAACAAAAAAATAAGTAAAGAAATTGAAAAACTTTTTATACTGATTGAAAAATAAAGAAGTAATAATAAAGAGGAATATTGAGAAAATTAAATTAAATGATACTTTTGGTTTTTTCGAAGCATAAAAAGCATGAAGAATAAAAGAAAGTGTTTAAAATTGTAAGTTTCATGATTATTGCTCTATAGAGATTCCGTTCTGAACTCTTTTGGGCTTTGTTCTGGATTATGGTCAATTAAAAATACATGACTTTATAAGAATTTGAATTCGGCATTAAGCTGAGCTTGTAGAATTAAGTTTTAAGAATCATAATCTCCTTGAAGTGCAAAGATTCTGTCAGAAAAGTGAATAATGACTTAATCTTTTTTGAATTGGCATAATCTTGCTAATTATTCATGAATCATTGATTCTAAAGTTTCATTTATATAAAGGTAAGTATTTGTTGAATGAGCTAGTGATCTTGAGTATTATTCTAGGGAAATTAGTAATGTTTTCTCAAAATTTTAGAATAATCTTGTATCAAACCTAGACTTGACTTGTAGCTTAAAATACTTAAATCTAACCGGTTGTTGTTATCTAACTCAGGAGATTTAATGTTGATTAAGTTTTTTTTTTATTTTTCTCAATTTTTAAGCAATTTCCTCATTATTATTTAAGGTTGTATCATATATTGTAACTTAATACCTTTGTCGTTTAATTAAAAGGTTTCAAATTACAAAAACCTCTTCAAAAACACACACAAAAGCTTCTACAGACACACAAAAAGATATTTTGACTGTAACAAGGCACCCTCTGTGGAAATAAAATCTTCATACATTATTCAACTCATTTGAAAATTCAAATCTTAAATCATCATCATCAATGATACTTTTTTTTTTATTTCATGATGGAGAAAATATAAAAACCTGTAATTTTAACGCCTTAAAAACCATCTGACTTTCATTCGCTAGCTAATTTGAATATTAATTACCCCCTTTCTGTTTCAGAAAAGGACATTTCATCTACTTTCTTGTATTAATTAATTAATTTTCTCTTTTCAATTCTCGTAAAAATGAGACTAATGCGTTTCACGAGCGTAATATTTCATATAAAAAAGGAATTTTTAGCCTCCACATGCATTTTACATTCAGCTCATTGTTCCGAGAAGCACAGGATCTTTTTGCAGTCAAAAAACTATGTTTAATAACCTTCAATTTAGTCGGTTTTAGTAAAAAATAATCAAAATTCTTATTAGAAATTGTAAATTGCCAAAATATCTTTAAGATGATTGCCATGACACCTTATAAGCTATAGAATGGCAGCTACAACATGACATCAACAAAACATATTTTTTAACAATAATATTAGCCTGTGCTGCTCGGATTTGAGTTTAAATTTTGCTCATATTTTGCACTTAAAGTTGCTTCCTTACTCTTTTTTTCGACACTAATTAAAGAATTTGTTTTTACTCTTTCATTTTATAAAATTATATTACAATATTACAATTTATTGTTGAGCCTTACTATTAAATAAAGTAATTATAATAAAAAAAAATATGAATAATTAATTTTCATTCAAAAAGACTTATTTTTCATCTTAATCTTCTTGTTGAGTTCATTAATAAATTAAATTAAAATCAGTTAAAAGGAATGGAATATTTATATTAAAAATTAAAGATCTTATCAAAAATAAATTTATAAAAATAAAATGACACAAATGTTTCCCATATTCGTTGCGTAGGTTGTTGCACTTACTATTTCCTCGATTTCGATTAATGTACAGTAAAATACAAATTATATCTACACTTTGTATGCATCTAGAGTGATATGCATTGCTTTCTTTTAGGATGAGATTTGTTTCAGGTAGAATGTCGTCAAAATGACAATTTTTTGTTGCTTTAAATTGCACAAAAATGATCAAGTTACTTTTAGATTGTTTTTCAAATAAGCAGGAATGTTTTGAGGTTTTCCTCAAATTTGAGTGAACATTTCAGAAGCTTGAATCTCAGAACATAAGAATGAATTTTCTTGAAGTTGGTTCGAACAATCAGAATAATGAAATCTCAAACATTTGGGAATTTTAAAGGCATGGACACAACCAAGATTCCAAGTCCATCAAACCAACTTCAAAATAATTCCAATCAATTAACAAAATAAAACTAATTCACACAACAAAAAAACATGCAGTATGTCCCCAAAATGTCATAAATCTCACGACAATTTCAACTCTCCATAATAATCCTGGATATAAAAAAATGGAATGAATTTATGTTTTTTATGGAATGGAATTCACAACACTATAAAAATATGTATGTCTACAAAAAAGGCACATTCATATCACATAAAAAGTGTGCATTAAAAAAAAACAGTAAGCAACAAACAAAAGTCAAACAAACAAAAAATTTAAAATAATATTCATCGATGTGATTGAGTTTGTCCGGCTACTGATGCAGCTGCGGTCGCTAGGCTATGATAATTTTGCGTCGTTGGATTCTGTAAGCTTTGATTTTCATAAAAGCTTTGCTGTGGAAAATGAGGCGTCGGGAAATGATGTTGGGGTGGTGAAAAGTGAGGAGAAAAGTGATGCGTGGATTGCGGCGAATGTGAAAAATGTTGCGCATGTGGCAAATTATATAAATGACTGGTGTTCTGAGGTAAATTTTGATGTGAATTAAAAATTAATTGTCTTACTTTTTCCTTATCGCCCGGATTATCGCCGATATCTGAAATGCTATAATTAAGTTCAGTTTCCTCGAATCCCGTTGCTGACATTCGTTGATCAGCTGATGTTCCAGTTGGTATATCAGGTGAATTCAGGCAGGTCTGAATGAGTGTTTTACCCGCTTCCGATGTAATCATTGGCTGTAGTTTGCGTGTGGCAAATGTATACACATGACCTGTTTCTGATGCTACAAGCAGCATCACTTGAGTGCCAGTTAATGTTGAAAGCTCGTAAGCCTATAATGAGAAATAAAAAAAGCGTATTTTGTAAGATTACTAAATTTATAAATATCAGTGCCAAAAAGTCTAATTTATGAGTCAATTCCAATTCAATAAAGATAACCATATTGATTCGCGTGTGGATCTTCAAAATGCAGTTGCTGTGAGTATGAGTCATCATCAGACACCAACGTGCGTCAATCAGATTTTTGAAGCAGGCATAAAAAAGAGTGGAAACTGTCGAAACATAAACTTTTTCATTTCTTCTCCCCATTTTCTGTCATTATTTATTCATGCAGACACTTTTTTTTTGTGCTGAACATTGCGAGACATAAAGTGATGTTAAATTGGAGCATATAATATATAGAATTGCAATCAGATTTTTCTTTAAAGAGCTTCAAGTTCAATGAACCGATTGTTGCATTTCATCTTCCCATGAGAAAATCAAGAAGAAAACGAACTTTTTTTGGCACATTTTTTCTCATAATTTTTTACGAGCAATAGTTCATCTATCGATGATGAATAATTGCCGATTTGTATGTTTTATTATTCCGCTTATAAATCTATTAAAATACCAAATATGATGAGAAAGAAATCAACTCTCCATTACATGTTAATAGATTGATTCCATTTCGGATGATTTTGTTTGAAATAGCCAGGCATAATTATGATTTATGTGAATGCCGATCAGTTCAATGGGCCATTTAATAAATTTTCAATTATTCACACACCATCCGTGTGTGTGGATCTTATGTGTTACTGATCAAACTTGGGAATTTATTTGATTTAGTGATTTTTATTGAGGATTTTGAATTATTTCCAGAAATAACAATTTAAATTCATTATTTTCTTAGTTTAAATGATTTTGCATTGTTAAAGAAACTCAAGTAGAGCTATTACTATCTTGAAGCATTTAAATCCAGTTCTAGATTATCCAAAACGTTACAGATTTCAATAACTTTGATGACTTGAAATGATTGTAAACATATCTGAGTTAAAATTGCGGGAATATTCAAAAATTTAACGATAATTAAGTCTATTGATCCTTAATCTTCAACAGTTAGATCAGTTAAATCGAAATTATTTAACAGCTCATAACCTCAATTTCCAAAATTAATATACATCGATGTGAAAATTCCCAGATTTACAGCTCAAAATTCCTCCCTACATCACATATGACCAATCTCCCATCTCAATATGGAAAATGCAGAAATAAATTTTACACCTTCAAATTTTCTATATACCCAAATTTATTTCCTAGCCGAATTAATCCATTTCACAATGAATGAGTGAGTATTTCATTAAAAAATATATATGGCCACACGATTGCATGATAATAAATCACATAGAACAACAATCGATTGGTTTCGGGTCATCGATGTAATGTTTCCATCTATTTATTTCAATTTTCCCTCTCGCCTTTATTTTCACATCGTCAATAATCTTTTTTTTTCTTTTTTCCCCTTTCAAATTTAAAAGCAATAAATATATAAATTTACCTTAAAATTATTCAAAATAGAAACCATAAACCATACTCAAATCACCATCATAAATTTTCGAATTTTTGTCTTGTTCACTCAACTTATACTCAAATAGATTGTCATCGTCGTGTGGGTAATAAAATTGTCATTTGACATAGTGAGGAATCAGAAACAAATAATGCACGCACCTTTGTCGTCTATCTCACTCAAAATCATCTCTTTTTAATGTGCAATAATACAAAATTTCGGAAATCAATTTTGTTTTTTTGGAAGTAGTCTAGCGGGAGTGTCGACTTCAGTAATCAAATTAGATGTGAATGAATTTTTTTTTATTGTTTACATGAAATTGTGAGCTGATGTGTCGTATGATTAAGCTGTGGTTGAGTAATAATCTAAGGGTACAACAATCAGGAAGCACCAAAACCTAGTTATTGCCGAATTACTTTGCGGCTATCAAGTTCTGCATTTGCTATATTGTCGCATTGAAGACTTCAGGGATTAGTGTCTTTAGAGAATGAACCCTTATTCATTAAACCATCAGCTGACGAATTACTCATCTTAAAAAACCTGTGATCTGTGTAGTACAACTGATTGATCATTTACAATTGACGATGTCTCAAAAATTCGATGATTACCCTCCTCTCAACCATTACATCAATTTCTATAGAGTACCTAACAGCTCTAGCCCCCATAAAACCTATAAACCATATGTTAAAGACTTTTTATTATTTTCAATATCTAATTGCGTTGTTGATTTTATTGGAATTGATCAGAATTGACACAAAAGTGATGGCTAATTAGTAAGAGATTAAACGGATCATTAACAATTGCATTGAGATGACAATGAGGTCGACACATAAGCTTCATTATTTTATTTTAAATAAAGCTTCATGAAGAAAGAAAATTTATGGAAATGATCTGCTGATTTTTCTGCGGCTTTTGCTTTTCTTCCATACTTAAGTTAATGAAAATAAAATAAAGATCTTCATCGCTTCATGAATTAAAATAAAGTCTTTTTCTTTCAAAAATCGTATTTTTTTCTCATTTAGTTCCAGCTGGTTTTACAGAAACTTGTGACACCTACACCACGATTATGGACGATTCGCTGTTTATTTCTTTGTCTGCTTAACTCAAAATCGTATTTGCGGCTTATTTTTTTACCTTCTTCTTAATTTTTTTTCTTTCTTGTTATTCAACAACAGAAAAAAAATTTCATTCATAAAGCATCAAATCAACTGGCATGCTTCATTCATGAAATTTGAATCCCTGCCTCCTCAAAAAAAAAAAAATATTTGAGAAAATGAAATTAACATTTGATGCTTTACGAGACTCAAATGCTCCATGCGAAAATGTTGAAATCAATTCTTTTTATCACTCGAAATGTTAATTTGAATATTTTAAAAATAAATGATTTGTGACAAAAGCTATGAATGGTAATAATTACCTAGATAAGCTTTATGCCGATGACTTTTGCGCATTTGCTAGGTTCATTCGGATTAAGGGATAATGAATAGTGTCAATTGAAAGTTGAGGTTTTAAGAGGTTGTCAAGAGACATAGGTTCGAATCCTACTCTTATTAATATCCCAGTATCAAACTAATTAGTTCTGAGGAATAATCTGGTTTAAGCCATTCAAATGAATGATTCCCAAAAGAAAAATACCGACAGCATCTAATTGAATAGCTCTTTATGTCATGCAGCATTTGAAATGTTTCAATGCTGGATGGTAAAGGGTATGGGTGTATTATTGATATCCAAATCATAAATGGTAAACATTAACTAGATAATTTGTGCGTCTGACCTTCATAAATTAATTTTCCTTCCTTAAGAAAAAAATCTCTAAAACTTCAATCTTCCTCGATTCCCACAACAGACAAAATGATTTGCACATCCGCAAAAAAAATTATTAAAATCCGCTAAAAGTGTGGCAAGAGATTAAACGCATTTAAAAATTTAAATTTAACATTTGGCGCCAAATAAAAATATTATATATATATATATATCTGCCTATTTCATTCACAATTTTATAACATTTACCTTGCCATTGACTTCTGATAAATCATTTGTTAAATGCGACGTGAGAGTGAGAAACAAAAAAAAATTGTGTGGATGTAGGATAGAAAAAAAAACAAAACGTGAAGTAGCATAAATTTTATAATTTTATGTGAATGAAAAATAAAAAGCGAAAAGTAATTTTGACTTATTGACTCAGAACAGAACGGTGGCAATAAGTCAGCAATGATTTGTCAAGAATAGAGCAATGATTCATTAAAAAAATGTAAATACTTCCAAATTCATAAATGCGAGTAATTTACGATCGTGCCTAATAAAATCAACTCGGTGTTGACAATCTCAGCTGATTTTTTTTTTCATCCAAAATTTACTCACTACAAATTACACGCTCGACACTACCAAAAACAATCGTTTCATTCATTCATTCTTAAAATGGAGCTTATTTCTCTTCTATTTTCGTAAAATCTGTTCCAGCTGATGTCTCGCGCGTCTCTGTGCAACTCACATGATCCCATTTTTATAGCCATAATTTTTCTTATATAGCCTTTATTTATTTATTGTATTCATTTTTTTGTCGTGTTGCTTGTGCACTTTTTTTCATCCACAAAATACTCTGTTAGTTTGGAATGGGTTCGTTCATAAATGATGGTCATTATATAATTGGATTTTAATGCATCTCATCTAAGTTTATGTTCTAAACAACTTCAAACAAAATGCAGTAAAGGTGCAGTCTCATCTTCTTCTACCGCTAGTTTTGTTGGTCCAGAAACCTTTAAATGTTAACCGTCATGACCAACAAGGGATAGACATGAATGAAGGCCTTTTAGTGATCAATGATATTTTAGTGATAGGATGACTTATTTGACGTGACCTAACAAGCAGAAAACTCCCCAGAAGAAGACAAACGCAATGCCTGTCATAGTTTGATATTCAATAAAACAATGTTGAACAATAACATACCGCAAGATACTTTCATGAGACATGAAATGAAAAAAGACAAATAAAAAATGGAGTGAGAGCTATCATATATCAAGAGGTCTCCAAAAAAAAGCCTCGTACTCGACACGAGTAATTGAAGATTTATCCCGCACATGTGATGGCAGGCAATGATCATCATCATCATCATAATCATTCATCGTCATGGCTCATACACAAATTTTAAATATTATTGTTATTGTTACTGTGTATCTTTATGTATGTTAAATGAGAACTAAAGTTTGTGAAATATAAATCTCTACCTATAGTTCCAGCTCACATTATACAAAGATCAGAGTATCCACCTACTATCCAATATTGAATATGACGTGTGTATTTTTTTTAATGAAAAAAAAAAAAGACGACGACGAAACTGATTTCAACCAAACATTTCTAAATTTGGAAATAGAGAGAAACTTCTTTTCTGCTTTTGTGTATTGCAAAAATCAGATTTCTTGATACGCGATTTCGTTGAGATTGATACATGAATGAGAGAATTTTTACATGAAAATCATCGACATGAGTCTGAAGGGAATTCATCTACCACAATTGATGTGAATCTGATGTAAACAGGGTTGATATCTGCGATCTTTGGTTGGTTTCAAGAGCTTTCTGTTTATATGAGTCAGAATCTGTGGTTGCTAATGACAGATCTAGAACAGGTCTGTTTATTTTTCGGATTTAAATCCAAATATGTCTTTACAAGGTTAAAAATTTGACATGTGTCTGTGATTCTAGTAAGCTACACTAGCACAACATTTTCCACATAAACTCAACATCAAGCATCTGCATTACAACCCTGAATGCCAACATTCACAGAGAGACAATCGTTTTGGGAATAATTGGCGGAATTCCCATTTCACAATTAGCTTACTTGCATTCATGAATCAACAGGTTTTTCCTCAACATCATTCAAGAAGAAAATAGAAAAATTCTCATTATTTTCATTTATATTTTTTCGGTTTGAGAAAATAAAAATCAATCAATTTGAACTGAATCAGCACCAACACTAATGCCAATGATCTAGTAATGAGTTCGTAATTTCCGCATTATAAGGAAAATGTAGCAGAATTTACATGAGCGATGACGATGTGAGTGAGGAACAATTTTTTTTTCTTACTTTTAAAAATAAACATTTAAGTGCGAAAATGTATGTAGATCACTCGACGTTAATGATGTGCAGTTATGTCACTGGCAAGATTTTAAGGGCAAAAATTTTCATTTTCATTTTTCTTTGAAATTAGTAACAATTTTATGCTGTTTTTCATTTGTAGCAAATTGCTAGTTCATAAAATAATTGCTTCTATTGAAATGATGTCTGAAGTATGATGAATTGATACTTAAGAAGTCAGTTTATGAGTTACTGAATTACATTTAGATTTATAATTATTTAAAGAATGCTTGTTGGGACTATTAAAAAATAAGCTAATTAAATGATGGTTAAGCTTGTTGGAAGTGCTTTTTGATGTTTTATTTTAGAATTTTATGGATGCAAATTTTTGCTGATTTTTGAGATTTTAAGATCTTAGTCAGGGAGTTTGAACAGAGTTAACATGAGCTTTTTGAGTCTGGGCAACTCCGAATAGTATTTATCTGTTCCAACTCTTGTTTCTAAAAAGGATTCAAACCTAATCATTTTCAAAAATTCGAATCTTTGACTTTCGATCAAGAAAACAGCAAATTTCACAAAATGACACTCAAACATATTTTCTTAATTCTTGACGTAATCTAATTCTAGTCATTTAAATGACAAGTCCTAAATGAAAATACTTAAAATTTGAACAAAAAAATCTTTCAAAAAATAAAAAGTCGCGTCTAATATTGCATTGCACTAGAATTACTCATCACAAATTCATAATTTTTTTTAAGACATTTGTAAATGTCAGTCTCGAAAAAGAAGTGGCATTTAATATTTCTTAACTGACTCAGTATGTCTAAACTTTAAACTTTGAAATAAAACAGTTTTTATGAATTTTAAATAAGTTTTCATAAATTTTAAAAGAATTTTTCACAAAACTTAAACAATTTTTGAAAAAAAAAATTAAAGCAATTTTTCCTCACTCAAAGCATAAAAATCCTCCCATGCCTTAATGACTCAAAGCAACGATCGCACGCATTGCATTACATTTTCTGGCTTCTTTTGAACTTTTTTTTTTAATATTCATGTTACTGCATTTTTATATTAGAAGAACATTAAAAAATGCAGTATGCACATGGGAATAGTCATTAACTTCCTTATTGGCAAAGTTGTAGTGATGCGAATTTTTCGTTACAGTACATTAGACAAAAAGTCATTTGTCATAAAATAAGGCAAAAAAAGAAGATATACTCACTTTCTTCATGATGCCCGTTTTCCTCTTTGAGAATGTCGTATAACGTCGCAGCTTATTGTCTATATATTCCATTTTAATTTTAACACGTCCTTTGGTTTTCTTGCCATTTGAGAGATTAGACTTAGTTGTTGGTCCAGGTTTCTGTTGAGGTGTTGTGGTTACTGCTGCAGTTCCAGTTGTTGTTGTTGCTATACTAGCCGCCGAATACGCATCATTACTAAATCCATCATATGTGTGTCCTTGATGCAACGCCTGATCTTCAATTTTCTTACTATCATATTTCTCGTACTTCTTATCCCGTTCGCTCTCATTCTTCTCATAATTTTGATGATGTCTCTTCAAATAGTTCTTATTATTTGTTGTGACGACACTGTCAGCAGCTGCAGCTGCATAAAATTGCTGATTCGATAATTGTCGCTGTGGAAAATTCTGATGAAAAAGCTCTGTTGGATTCTGTTGGAGATAACTATTAAGATATCTCGATGGTGTTGACGGCGAATTCTCACGCGGTGGTTCCATCTCAACTTTTTTGCTTTTGTTTTTCGATTCCTTTTTGATTGATGATTATTACAATTTTATTTTTTGTGTAGTGCAATAAATTTGATCGCTTATCTTTCCACTTGTTGTCTTATTTGCTTCACAACTTGATCCCTGTCCTGTGTCTTGTGTGTAAATTTAGAATTGATTTTTTTTTATACTCAGCGACGGCACTAAGAAGTCGGTGAAGTTATTTAATTCTCTCTGTTTTTATGTATTTTGGTCACTTCTCAAAATGATTTTCCTCTATTTCAAGCATGACATTTTTAAGTACGACGATTCACTATCTCTCTGTTGTATATATTTTATTTTTTTCTCAAATCTATGTCGTCCCCCGCGTATTTCTTATTTTTATCTACACATAGGAAAAATTGCGTTTATTTTGAAATGGGAAATTTCGGCATTTTCATTCCGTATGCGTGTGTGATGCTCACTCAAGGCAGACTTGAGTTAATTGGACCAAATGAGATGAATATCTCCTTCTAAAAAAAATTACAGTTTCTTTTCTTTTAAAACCGAAAAAAATATAAATTCACAATCGCTGTTTCGAGCGCTTTTTTTCTATTTTTAAACATTAATTTTCATTTATGTGAATCCACCACTGACTCTGATTCTTCTTTTTTAAGGCGAAATATGAACAAAATTGTTGTTTTTTTATTCCTTTTCTTTTAAAAGATTATCAATGATTATTCACCGGAAAATTTTTGCACTGTATTATGTATGAATCATTGGCTAAACTTAAAATTGTATTATTATTATATTTGTAAGCTATCTTCTTGTTTACATCTGTCCAAATGACAATTGCATTTAACCTCAATCGTCTCTCCAAATTCAATCAATCAATAATTGATTCCGTCGTTGTCGTAGTTTGTTTCTAATTAGGGAAGATCTCTCGAAATTGAAAATTACACGACTCTGTGTAATAACAAAACAGCTGAGCAATTATCTCCTTTTTGTGTGCGCTTCCAATGTAATTGTGTTTTTATTTATTTTTTTTATTAATTCAATTTTATTATAAAACCCGATCTATATATCTTATATTATTATTTTTTTATTTCTTTACTAGAGCACAATATCGCAACGTGTGTTTTTCGTTGTTGCGTATTGAAATGTAGAAAAAATACAAAAAAATTTTCATTCTGCGATATTTTTACGTTCTGTTTTCGTGCTTTTTCTCTCTTCGCATTTGCACACGATCTCTCGCTCTCTCTGTATGTTATATTTTCTTTCATATATAGCAAAGCAAAGCCTAACGTATGGATGTATATATAGGAATAAAAAGCTCTCAATGCCGCATTGGTCAACTCAACTTGTGACAACTTCTTCTCAATTCTCCTCTACACTATTACTTCTTCTTCATTCATATGTGTAGTCTTTTTTTCCTTCCAATTAGATTGGCTTTTAATTAACAAATTGTTCAACTGATGTTTTCAATAGAATTACATCGATATTATTGATGTCTTTAAGCCCATTAGTCTTTCTAGATACATTTTTTTGTCCATATAATATTTAAAACAATGGTGTGATGAATATCGAAGAGGGAAATTGAGTCACGTAAGCACGTAACAATCAATCAGTGACACTAATTGTTAGTGATCTCAATGACATGATGAACGGTGTATGTAATTTGGTCATTTATGATCGTAAAAAGACTTTCTCATGATGTAGGGATGCAGTGACAAATGACGTGAGAATTTAATTTCTTGTATGCAACTATAATCAGTTTGTTTCCCCTTGTATAGTTGTTAACCCCTTCATATGAATATTAAGTCTGTTTCTAATCGTCAAACAATAAACATCGCTATTAATTATATTAATACTGGGGGTCCTCGATTTGAGTAGATTCTATTTGAGTAGATTCGATTTGAACAGAAAATTTATTACCCACCAAAATATTCGATTTGAGTAGATTTCTTCCTGTTTTCTTCGATTTGAATTGTTTACAAAACAAATATTTTTGATAAAAACATTTCAGAAAATAATCTTAAAACATAAATTTTACTGCGATAAGCGTGAACTTATCATATTGATAGAAAAATCAATACTAAAGTTACAAAATTAAAGTAAAAATTTAAAAAATCGATATAAAATCAACGATTTTAAAAAGTTCAAATTCAAAAACCTTACAAATTGTTCAGTGAAATAACATTTGCAAGGTTCTCATATTTTTGTTTTGTTTCAAAAACATTTTTTTTGTGAATTTCCGTTTAAAAACAATATGAATATGCGTTGAAATAAATTAAGTTATCTAAAACACAAAAGAAAAGTTAAGAAACGAGGTAAAATGTGCAAAAAATGATCAAAATTTTCATTGTTTTGATACATTTTTTGGACTCAGGAACAAAACATGTAATTTTGTATGGATTCTTTGCCTCGATTTGAATAGATTCGATTTGAGTAGAAATTTTTTGGAACAAAACAACTACTCAAATCGAGGACCCCCAGTACATAAACATTGTGTTCATCATATGCAGCATAAATCAATAAAGTCATTCATGAGACAAGAGTGACCAGAAGCTAGCTTAAACCTGAATTCAACACTAAGCTCCATTGAAGCACCATTTATGAGCGAACCCCCAATGCATTCCTTTAAGTTTCAATCTAAACAATTTCATTAAGGTTTGTATAACGTTTCTTTAGTGCACGTGAAGTGCCTTTAAGGAGCTTAAAATACTTAAAATAGAAATCGATTAGGGGCAATAATTTTCATTAAGGTATGAGAGATGTCGATCGTCACTAATGAAATGAAAAAAGGGGAAATGCTTTGTGTTGATAACAACAAGCGTTGATTTGACATGAAAATTCACAAAGGAATGCTTCTCTTGATGCTCTAATGGTTTTTGCTTTCTTCTTTCAGTGGAAGCAAGTTGGCTAATTTGATACATGAAATATTTCTCTTTTTTTTGTGAGTCTCGCAATGATTTTTATTGATAGTAAAATGCTGATTTATGTGATAAAAGAAGGAATCTGATAACATTTTTAAATAAAATCGCTGAATTTCTTTCACACGCTCTTATTTTGAAATTTTGAAATTTTTCATCTTTTTAAGATTTGGGAGCCGGAAGTTGAATCAAATAGTGAAGAATCCGAAAGTAATTGATAAACTTTAAATATAATTTTTAATTTTTAAAAACCAAAAATACTGATCTAGCGTAAGACTATAATGAGCTCTTAGACTTGAGGTCCCAAAATACTGATTTTACGTAAGACTTTAATGATCCCTTAGACAAAAGGTCCGAAAATACTGATTTTACGTAAGACTTTAATGATCCCTTAGACAAAAGGTCCGAAAATAATGAAAGTATTTCTGCATTCAAAACATAAAAAAATGCAAAAAAAACTACTAAAACTTAAAAAATTGAAAAATTTGCAAAAATTTCAAAATTTTTTTTTGTCAAATTTCACTCAAAATCACTCATTAATCGACTATTTTTAATATATTCTACACATTTACAGCATTTTAAACATAAAAAAATAATAAAATTTTTTTCATATATTGGCCCACCCTAAAGTACACTTTTACCCTTAAATTGTATCTAGCGTTGATTTTGAGTTTGTTTGGAATTTAAAAAGGTTAATTCTAAGTTTGGCGATAAGCCCGAAAACCTTTCAAAAAGAAAATACGGAAATTAGATCTGCATGAATAGATTTTTCAGAAAGGACAAGAAAAACCATCAAAACACCGTAGACTATACAAATATATCGATTTTATTTTTAATGGAGTTTCGTTGCTGACCATGACTCATAAAATATTATATTTTTAAAACCCATTAGTCATGGAGGACCTAAGAGCTTAGACAGCAATGAATGCCACAAATTGTCTGAATCTATAAAATATTAATTTATATTAATCAAGAGAAATTGCAATTTTAAACCGAGACAATTCATTTTTAATATTTCAAAAAATAAAGCTTTAAATTTATTCGATTGTTTTCCATTATTTTAATTCTCAGCTATCATCTTTCATTTTCAAAAGCTAAGCCTCTGATTTACATGAAAATTCATATTTTTAACTACAATTTCCATCAACTCCACCTCAACATTTACAATATTTTCCCTCCATCTGCTTGATAATTTATATCCTAAAGATTAATATTGTCACAATTATATCCAATAAATTACATCTATTAGACTGATGACCATTAAAGCAACAACCTTAAGATCTAGAGTTTGTTCAATAATTTCATTTTAATATTTTTATTACAGATGAAGACTTAACAATCTTGGTAATTTGCAGATCAGATTTCATATGAAGCTTTCCGTTGATTCAAAACTGTAGTTTTTTTATTTTTCTTAATATTTTTTTTCGTTAAATCTACAATTTTATGACAAGCCATTAATTTCATTTGTCAACCTTACGAGTTCGAAGAGAAAATTGTTCACAGATTCCGTTTTTATTTATGACTCACAAAGCGACAGCTAATTTCGGACGAAATTTTCACGAGATTATTCTTAGGAAAATGCGAATCGACTAATTATATCAAAAAATTATACGAGGTAAATTTTCAGGGTCATGCTCGATCGCTCTTATCATTGTCTCTTGAAATTTTAGACACGAAAACACCGGAAAATGTTCATTTTTTTTCAAAGGAGTTGTGAGAAATTTTTAAAAATAAAATCGGCGCCTCGTGTTTCATAATTTTCATCTTCTTATTGTTGTTGTTGTCTTCATTACAGGTATTTTTGAATAATTTCAAATGACAGTCTTTTGTATTTTTTGACATTTTAGCTAGAGTTATAAGAAACCTGAGCAGTGTTGCATTCTGGCCATTTGTCTGCATCAGATAAATTCTGAGACAGAAATTTCTTCATAAAGATCGATTCTATATGAAGATAGAAAGTCTAATCTACACAAAGATTATTTCTACATAAAGATTCTGTCTACATAAAGATTCGATGTAGATGTCTACAATTCTACATTCTTCTCTGATGTAGACCTGGAAAAAATGTAGAATTGTAGACATCTACATCGAATCTTTATGTAGAAATAATCTTTGTGTAGATTAGATTTTCTTTCTTCATGTAGTATCGATCTTTATTAAGAAAGTTTCTTAGCTAGACAAAAACTATTGAAGAATCTACATTCTTCATCTAGTGTAGACATCTACATTTGCAACACTGAACCTGAGTGTGACAAAGGCACGTTTAAGGATCAAGAAACCTTTATTGTCATGATCTGAGTCACTTTTAGTGTTTAAGAAGCGGTAAGAAGATTGACCCCAAGTAACCAAAAGGTAAATCAATGTATTCCATGAGAATCTTCCTCCTTCTTCTTTGTAATACATCAAAGGAATACAAATGGAAAACAAATGGATTCCTTTTTTTGGATAAAAACACGTGTTAAATTCCACGTGTTCTTTTGTATTTTTCATTAATTTGTGTAAATTTTTGTAAAAGTATTAGTGTATACTTAATTAAAGTACTCTAACACTACGAAAAAGAACAAAAGGACTTAATTTAATTAAGTCGCATACTGATGAACGCCCATGACTCGCACACAAACCTGAGGACGATAAATAATTAATTGAAAGCCCCATACAAATTTAGAGAGAACTTATAATAGTGATTTCTGCGAGCACTTGTGAAGTATATGGCAAATGCCAAATTTAGAACAAATATTATTTTCATGCAAAAAAATATTTTTTTGATGATTTTTCGTAGGTTTTGAACTTAAGCGGGCTCGGGTTAAACTTCGATGGAACACTTCTGTTACATATTTGTAAAACAAATATGTTCCATATAATAAATAATGATACATTTGATCTTCCATCGACTTCGAAGGAAGATTATATGGAACATTTTGGTTACTTGGTACTCTTATAGTTTTCAAGACTTTTTAATAATTCTGTCCAAGAATATGCGTCTAGACGATGTCTCTCATCGAAAACGATTAGGTCTAGGCAAAATCGTTTGAAATATGCTAGAAAATGGTATAATGAATACCTAAAAAGGTTTGAAGCACCACAAATAATTAAAAAGCGGACCTTGAACGAGATTAAACATGTTTTTTTAAACTTGAGGTACTTAAAGTCACGTTTTAAACCCAAAAATCCTACTAAGTCATTATTTTTCCTGTCCCTGAATATCAGTTTACATTTAGATGCTTTTATCAATTCAAGAATTCTAAGATGACAACTCTGATTTGAAATATGAATATTCAAACCTTTAAATCCACAGACTCATCTCATAAAAGATCAATTAATGCAAAAAAGGCTACCATAAAAAAGTAGAACATCGAGGAAGCGAGACTTAAACAATTTTTCATCTTAAAATAGCATAAAATTTTCTACTTTTTATGCTGCTTCCTCATGCAGTTGCAAAATGCGATGAAAAAAAAATGTTCAAAAATAGACGAGCAACAACATAAGTTTGAGATGATCATCAACATTTTCTATTGCTTTGAGAGCATCGCATGTTGTATTATTAAAATTAATACCATTTTGCTACAAAATTTCCATTTTTGGCATCGGCTCAAGTTCTAAAATTGTTGTAGGCGTTTCAAAAAAAAAAAAAAATTCATTAAAGAGACTTGAAATTAATATATTACAATCATATAATGAAATTGTATTCGAATGTCTGGATTATTGAAGAGTCATGGAGATTTAATTAATGAAAGAATTGGAAATTAAAATAATCTTCTTTTGAAAATGGTGAATGGTTTGCGATAAAAGCCTGAATATCGACGTTGTTGTTAGGATCGTTTGAATGAATATTCAATGTGATTGGATTTCTTGAAAGTTCCATGAATTTTTAATTGTGAATTTTTTGTGGGAGCTAATCACATTGAGTCTATTTTGCAGAGGTATGCAAAATGGTGCCGAATTGGTGAATTCTTTTGATGGAAATTAGATCCATTATTGAGTGGAGATAAAGGAGTTGTGTCAAATTATGAGAAGCCTGGCAAAAATGGATTTTAGAATGTGATTCCTGAAATCACTGAAGTCCTGTTTGAAGTCAAATGTTTTAGATATTATGCATTTTGTGGTCAATTCACAAATGTCTTTGTGGGGATATTAACAGATTCTTAATGGATTTAAGTG